CCTTCTTAAGATCCAACAGTGCAAAATGCAAATTCTTGCACTTTTTTGACTGGTCTGAAGATTTTGATCAGGAGTGTATATATTGAATTTATGTTGAAGTTTAGTTATCTGTTATTCCACCCGCAGCCACCAGAGGGCGCGCATTCTAACAGCTTTTATTTTGGAAAAGAATCAATCAGCGATTCAAAGCGACCCTCGGATCGATCAGAGTTTAAATCTTCAGCTCGGAGTCTCTGATCTGTCTCCAGGATGAGTGAAAGAGGAGGAAACGATKATCTGAACATGAATTATGGATGAATGATGCTGATGACGGAGGTCACGTGACCCTCACCGCATCTCTGCAGACCTGTCATCACATCACCGCTTCATTCAGGAGGTGCGCGAGGACAGAGACGGTCCACACGCGAGACTGAGGTGAGTTTTTAACATTTAAAGCGTAAAACATTTGAAATGAAAACATATTTAAACCTCACAACTGCAAAACCGGGTTTTTTTTATGTAATATAGCCTTGTCTGTTAGCAAAATATCTCATGAAACACCGGACGGACGTTGATGAAACTTTCAGGAAATAATCACTGGATGTGCACCTACACCTGATTAACTTTTGGAGTCAACCCTGTTTAAGATGGCTGACCTTAATGGTCAGTTTTACATATATTCAGCTTAATTTAGAAAAAGATATGAGGAAGTGTTCAAACAGCAGAGTCCACGTTAACGGTTTGATTTTTTTACAGACGAGACTAAATGACGTTTTGAAAGATGAGGAACAGACTGACGTTATAAAAATGGAAGTAATAAAAAAAAAAAACGAGAACCCTTATAGTTCAAAGAGCAAACAGCTTTTACTCTGAATGAAACATGAATAAAACTCTTACTACACATGAAACCGGGGGGACCACAGCCCCCCACCTCCAGATTTACTAGAAATGAGCCCCAGCTTCCTTTCTGACACTGTTTCATTACTTAGTCAGAAAATGTTGTGACAGAAGAAGGGGAACTTCTCAAGACCAAAGTGCTGAACACAGAAAGAGGAAGTCGCACACAACGTGCCGTTCGAAGGCTTATCTTCTGCGAAAACGGAAAGATAGTGCAACGGAAAAATTGGTGCAAAGCGTCCGACCCCTTCAGCTCACAGTGAAATGTTTCTGGATCAAACTGAGAAACAGAAGGTGACGACTGYGGAGCAGAAACTGAAGTTCAGACGTTCCTCGTCTCGTCACTGCATGAGCACACTGAGCTCTACCTGGTATTTCCTGCACAGAAACAGTGTTTTCATTCTCTTATAAACACTACTACATGTACAACTGACTAAATGTGAAATAAATAAAGACTTCCCACAGAGGAGCCTTGATACAGCACTCTGTGGGAAGGAAAAAGTGTGGCAGAAAACGCTGCACAACAAGAAGAGTTGCGAGTCAGTGA